TTAACTGAATTTCAGTTTGTAAACCGCCCAAACGCAATGATAAGTCATAAATTTAAAGTTGTTGTTTTTTAGTTTTTTTTGTTGTTTTTTACTGTTCTTGATCTTTCTGCAGGGCAACAGAAGGTTCAACAACGAGATGTGAGCGACAATAAACACACCGAAATAGCCTGAAGTACTCCCTTTGAAACGTTTTGTTCAGTGCACCGTATAACATAGGATTTATAGCACTGCTCATGGTACCCAAAATACTATATGCAAAGTAAGCTTCACGGGAAAAATGCCAACTTCCCAGAATCGTATCGACAACATCAATTATCAAAAGCGGGGTCCAACACAAATTGAAAACCACCACAATCGCAAACAATGTGCGCGTTATTTTAATCTCTTCCACATTTATTGCTCTACCTCCAGTTTCATCTCTTTGTAAGTTTCTGTTGTGGTCGCGAACAAACTGGTAAATTCTGAGGTAGCAAAAAATAATGAAGCATGTAGGAAGACCAACATAAACCGTTACCACTATTGCAGTGAACGCACCACTATCGATTTGAAGATAGCAAAAGAACTTGGAAGGATGAAAGATCATTCGGTGTCCGCTCAGAAGATAAGGCAATGAAGCCGTCATGGAATAAAGCCAGGAGATAATGATCATTATCGTGGTTTTCTCCCTGGTAAAGTAACGCCGGTACGCTGCTGGTTTGAGGATCCTAAAATATCTGTTGAAAGCCATCAAAGTCATGGTATGTATTGAGGTAATTGCAAGGGTTACAGCTAAGAAACCTTGGTGCTGACAAGTTACATCGTCAAAAGGCCACCTGGATAACACTAAAACGGGAAAACTCAAAGGACAAGCAGTCAAAAGCCCCAAAGCGAAGTCTGAGACAGCTAGTGATGCCACGAACATATTTGGGATGGTTCGCATCTGTCGATTCAACAGCATAATCGCTAGGGTTATAAAGTTCCCCACAAACAAAACGAATAGTATGAGTCCGAAAACACCCGATTCCAAGATGATTCTTGAAATGTTTCTGGACTGCAGTTCCAGTAACATTTCAGTGAGTTGTTTTTCTGTTGAATCCATCGAGGTTAACGTTTAAAGCCTGGACAAGAAGCTTTGAGGAGGTCTCCTCCTCTTCAAAGATATTCCTTCGAATGTTTGTATTAGCTGTGGTTAGCCAATTTAACTGCTTTTAATTTTGAATGTATTTGGAAATGCACGGACTATCTAATGAATGAGGTTGATTTTAATTATGTAATACAAAGGATGAAACATCATTTAACTGCTTGTAATTTTGAATGTGTTTGGCAATGAAGTCGGACCATCTAATAAAGGAAAGAGATTTCAATCATGTGAAGTAGAGGATGGGCATTGGTTGGCTAGTCATTTGGTGCTAATTAAAACAGTAAAATAAAATGCAGGTGTTTTGAGGGTTCAATGTAAGGCCCGGAAACAGGATTAGTTTTAATTAATTTGGCACTTAAGTCTGCCTTCTTAATTACACAGTGTATATCAGATAGTATTTTCCTGAGAGAGAATTTATCAAAACACCAAGAAATGTCATATCTCTCTATCTGCCTGATTATCCGGATGCTGCTTTCCAAGTTATTTTTTGTAATTGCCTTAGGGACCCCCTTAGCTTTACTGGCTACTTTGGAATTATCACCTGTATTCCAATGTTCCTTATTTATCCTCGTTTCCGTTCATCACTTTGTCTTTTCGTAAAGAAATAAAGGTGTGGGGTGGCAAAATGTAATCATAATCTTTTTTGAAAGTATGTTTTTCAAAAGATTTTCCTTTCTTTAAGCCATTGTACTTGTTCTTGTTCTCTGCGGGGTGAATGCCGGTTCAACTGAATGGTGCCCGCGGCAGTTAACACACCGAAGTATCTTTATATACTCTCTCTGAAAGTTTTTGTTCAGTAAACCGTACAAAATGGGATTTATAGCACTGCTCACTGTGGCCAGAAAACTATATGAGACGTAAACTTCCCTATTGAAACCCCACCTTCCCCGAATCGTGTCGATGACATCGATCATTAAGATGGGTGTCCAGCACAAATTGAAAACCACCACAATCACGAACAATGTACGCGCTATTTTTATATCCTCCACATTTACTCTTCTAAGTCCAGTTTCATTCTCTTGTAAATTGATGTTGTGATTTCGGACGTATTGGAAGATCCTAAAGTAGCAGAAAATAATGATGCATGTAGGAATTCCGATATAGACTGTTACCAACACCACTGTAAACGCACCACTATCGATTTGAAGATAGCAAAAGAACTTGGAAGGATGAAAGACCATTCGGTGTCCGCTGAGTAGATAAGGTAATGGAGCCGTAGTGGAATAAAGCCAGGAGAGAATGATCATTATCGAGGTTTTCTTCCTGGTAAAGTAGCGCCGGTACACTGTGGGTCTTACGATTCGAAAGTATCTGTTCAGAGACATAAACGTCATTGTATGAATCGAGGCAATTGCCAAGGTTACAGCAATGAAGCCTTGATATTGGCATGCGAGCTCGTCGAAAGGCCATCTGGATGTCACTAAGACAGGAAGACTTAAAAGATCTGCAGACAAAAGCCCCAAAGCGAAGTCTGATACAGCTAGCGATGCTACGAACATGTTTGGAATGGTTCGCATTCGACGGTTCAACAACATAACCAAGATGGTTATAAAGTTACCAACAAACAAAAAGAGTGAAATTATTGAGAAGGAAAGCGATTCAAAGATGATTTTCGCCCTGCTTCTGGACTGCAGTTCTCGTAACATTTCGTTCAGTTGATTTTCTGTAGAATCCATCGCCTAACTATAAAGGTAGAATTGTTTTTTTACTTATATTTATCACTCAACTCAGACGGCAATTGCGTCCAAAGGGTATTTGGCGTTTTCTATGGACGGCTAATTTTGGTACTTTTATATATATATACATATATAATATACTTCATCTCACGTGTAAACAATAATCATTTTAATAAATTGCAAACCAATCAGTTTCGCTCATTGTCTGAAAATTTTATTACTTTTTATACTCATTGACATTACACGGAGTTGCTTTACTTAAAATTAAAAACGCAAACTGAACGCAGGTGTATTGAAACATTCGATTTTTGATGCGGAAATTTGAGGCTATGTGGCAATTAACAATCAGGCTTTTTCTTCGTACCGTTGCACCCTGGAAGCAGAGCTTTTCTTTTCTTAATCGATTTTGGTGTACTGGAGGGAGACGCTACATGAATCGACTAAGACTTTTGTTGAGCATGCGTTGCATGTTGCTAAGATACAGCGTCGAACCCAGGCCTAATAGCCGTTTGCTTGGTACAGCGGGTTCTGTTATGAACATATAAATAGATGGTCGCGCACAGAAACCCAGTTTGATGAGAAGAAACAAGATTAACTAGTCCAGACGTTCGGGACGCGGCAGCTTCAAAGGATTGACGCGAATCAGGCAGAGCCTCCTTTTCTCCTCCTCGATCAAGAAGAAGATAAAAGGAGGCTCTGCTCGCAGGGTGGCAGACTTTCTCAAAGTCCTTCGCTTCTCATTTCCGGTTCCGGTAGTAGGCCCCAGCGCGTTCACTTTTGCCGTAGAAAACATAAAAAAGTCTGCCGCTCGCGATTGGCGCTAAGGAACAATTTTGAGCTCGACTTGTTGGCAAGCCCAGAGGGTGGTAACGTTGGTATTCAGGCTTCAAAAATATGGATGCACAATTAATTATGACGTTAAAAATCATTAGGGACTGTGCAATAATTATCAGGAGGGGGGAGGGGGGGCTGAAAAACTAGAGGGGGGCATTACATAAAATTGCTGCCAAGATAGGGGGGGCTCAAAGTAAAATCACTCATTTGACGGAGGGGGGCCTTAAGTTTTATTCGAAATGTAAATAAAATTAAACGCAATAAAAGATTCTCAATACAGGCATCATGATAGACTGTAACAAATATCAATACGAACAGCTGTTAAACGATTATTGAAAATATTCCATCAAAATGAAAAGCAAATTCACAACTGATCAATTTTAACCCGTCTTCTAATTAATTGAGCTGATCCTATGTAAAGCAAAAATCATGAACTTGTTTTTCAGCTTCCCCCATAAAACATTGGGAATCAAACAGATCTCGTAGACAAGCTTTGTCGGTTTAAGATGTGAATAAAAGTAATGTTCTTCAGACGACGACATCCAACAAGTAAGCGTACGCTTACAGTAGCATGACACTATAAAAGGTATTTACTTAAAGGCATCTATGGTAATGGTGGCGGTGAGGGGTGGGTGTGTGGGTGGTGGGAGGGGGGGTGCGACGTTATTATTAACATAACAGAGGGGGGTTAGAACTAATTTTTTTTTGTTTTGGATGGGGTTACTGTCTAAGTTTTTGCCAGAGAACTCTAGTTTTTCAGCCCTCCCCCCTTCCTGATAATTATTGCACAGTCCCTTATGTGAAGAGAATTGCAAAATCTCACCTTGTAAAATTGTCACCTCAAACTCAGTGGCACTGTGAGTTGATTTCTTTTTACTATACCAAACACAAAAAGGCTCAGTTAGGTATAATTTTATGCCTATTTCCTTTAGTTTGCCTGAAAGAGATCTAAAGATCACTATAGTGTTTTTACCTTGCTAGATTTCCACGCGCGACCACGTCTGAAAATGATTTTTTTATTGGTTGACTCTGGTAATTCTTACAGTAGCATGGTAAAAGTTTATCTCCAGATTTCTTTTGTCCCCTAAAAACAATTCAACTACTGCTAATGATGATGATGATGATGTGGTGGTGGTGGTAGTAGTAAGAGTACATTCTATGATAATAATAATAAAAAATGAAAATGAGCCATAGTTTTTGTTAATAAAAAGTATTTTTAAAAAAAACATATATAATGGTGTTTTTATGATATAGTCTGATCTTTTTATATTTTTCCAGCAAGATTAGGTCACCATTATCATAGTAGATTTTCATTGATGCATAAGGTACTTTAATTAGTCAGATTTTCTTGTAGCCACTGACTACCCTTGTTAGCCGGTGTGGTCTTTGCGCGTGAAAGGTTTTACCTCAAACAACCTGTTCTCTGCCATTTGTACCCTTTTGTTGCTCCCGTTGACTGTGCTTGTTCGTTTTTCCACCGTCATTATCGGCTGAATGGTCGTTCGCACTTCGCAGCAATTGCAGCGTAGAATTTTCAGATATTCCTTTTGAAAACTTTTATTTAGCACACCGTATATCAATGGATTTATAGCGCTACTTATAGTGGCTAAGAAGCTGTATGCAACGTATAATTCGCGAAGGAAGATCCAGCCTCCAAGGACTATATCGGTAATATCAATTACAAATATGGGCGTCCAACAGATGTTAAAAAACACCACTATTACAAATAATGTGCGCACCACCTTAATCTCCTCTACGTTAACTGTATCTCTGCCATTGCGAGAGGTTTCGAAATTACTGTTGTGGCTGCGAACGGTGTTGAATATTCTAGGATAGCAGTAGAATATGATGCAAGTTGGGAGACCAACGTAGACTATCGCCATGAGCGCTGTAAATGCCCGACTGTCAATTTGAAGGTAACAGAACTTCGAAGGGTGAAAAACCATACCGCTTATCGTGTAGGGCAAAGGAGCGCAAAGCGAGTACAACCACCATGCACAGATTATCAGTATGGTCTTCTTTTTGCTGAAATAGCGTCGATATCTTTTCGGGTTGACAATCCGAAAATATCGATTCAATGCCATCAAGGCTAAAGTTTGCATAGACGCAATTGCTAGAGTTATAGCCAAGTAGCCTTGGAATTGGCAGGTTAATTCGCTATAAGGCCATCGAGATGTAAGAACTACGGCAAAACCAGAAAAACTAGGTAACACTGCTAAGGCAAAGTCCGAAATCGCAAGCGATGCGACGAACATGTTCGCCGGTATCACTCTCATTCGACGATTTTTCAGCATTATCAGTAGCGTTATAGAGTTTCCATGTAAACACAATGATAATATAAGCGTGAAAATCCCTGACTCTGTGGCAATTCTCGCTTTGCTCCTAGATTTTAACTCTTTTAGCATTTCTGCTAGTTGTGCGCTCTGTAAATCCATAGTTTCTTCCCGTTAATCGCCCTGCGAAATGTGTTGTAAATAATCTTGTATTTTAGTTTATTTTATAATTTGTGTTCCAATTAGTGCCCGGGCGGGGGGCGGGGGGGGGGGGGGGGGGGGGG